GAGGTTGGAAAGTTAAGGAGGTGATGTCAATATGTATCTTTGATACTCTATCTTGCATGCATGCATGGAGAAAATTGAGGATAGTTTAATGTAAGGGTAAAACGATTTGGCCCTGCTTAAAGCCAGGGCCAATCTTACTCCCATGCCAAGAGGGAGTATATAATAATATCATTTCGTGTCACCCTTTTTTATCCGATTTCTTGATTGATCATTCTTTATGTAGAGTTAATTTTCGCTAGGTAATTATGGAACAAGAAATTAAATGTGGAGCAGGGATAGCATGCAGCAGCTAATTTTGGAGAGGTTTCTTATTTGATAACTTCAGTTTTTTGTAGTCGTATGTAACAAATAAAGACGGCAGCAGCAGGCAGAACCGTAGAAGGACAAAAATTATACAGTATAGTTACCCCGTGCTCCTTTTTGGGAAATACATACTAGTAATATGTCTCCGTGAGAATCATGAATACGTTTTCTTGCTTAAACATGTTGTCTAAAATTATTAAGCTCAATGGGGACCGGACGCTGCTATACATAGTTGAGCCTCGGTCTTGTATTTTTCTGCACTTGCCAAGTTCCTGCAATTTTCAATTTACTGCCTGCTCCTTCTACATATTGCCAAATAGTAGGGAACTTAAATTTATTTGACAATTACACAATCAGGCATCTCTTCTGCACTAAATTTGATGAATCAATTTACGCATCAACCTCGACATTGTCATCTTGATCTTGCAGCAGTTAACCGAGGCTGAATATGATGTAGGAAACAACAAACAAGCTGATTGGAAAAACAGATGGCGCATAAGATTCATTCCTCATAAAAATGCCAAAATGAAATTTAAGTCGATATATCAGTAGAAATTTGACTAATAGTTACATGGTATTCCAAACTCTCTCTCTCTCTCTCTCTCTCTCTATTATGTAAGCAAGTCAGAAAATACTCAATACAGTAAATTAAATTTAGGAAACTCGTGCTGGTATATATGCTTGTTTCATAATACAGAATACAGAAAATCATGTAGCTCTGATTATCCATGACTGGAAAATAGAAGGATAAATGGTTTAGTCGACGTACCTTCGGTGTAACACACTATGCCCTTGTTTGAGCCCCATTCTTTCCAAAAAAACAAAAAATACATTTTTAAACAGTGTTTTGACATCATTTCAACCACATATTCTTCAATAAAATAATATTACACGTAAATCCAAAACTTTTACTTATTTTTTAAACACACATTTCCAATCAATATACTATTTAAAAATTCATTTTCTCCCCAAAATGGGGCTCAAACAAGGGCTATAATGCATATATATTAGCAGGATGGACTCATTTTCAAAAATATCAAACGATTCATTCTCTTTCAATCATACTCTTTTCATACTCTTGATTACTAGGAACAAATCTTTTCCAGAAAGTATGCTCCCCCCATATTTTCTCCATTTTCTCGATGGGAATATTCTTGGTTTCTGGCAGGAAAAAGTAGACAAATCCGGTCATTAATGCCACCCATCCTCCAAAGAAGAAGAAAATTCCTGACTTCATGTGGCAAAGCATATCAAGAAAGCCTTGAGCAATGATGAATGTAAAAAGAAGACTTGTGGCTACATTAATACTTTGTGCTACTGACCTTATTTCCAGCGGAAAAATTTCACTTGTAACAACCCATCCCAATGGTCCCCATGACAAACTAAATGCAGCAACGTATACACAAGTGAAGATCAAAACCAAAACGCCATGCCCTTTGCTTAATTCTCCATGATCCCCCAATTTGGCTGCCATTATTGCTCCAATCAACATTTGTGTAACGAACATTAGAATCCCGCCCAAGATAAATAAAGCTCGTCTGCCAAGTTTGTCGACTATCAAAGATGACGCAATCGTTGAACCTAAGCCCACTAATGAAAGCAGCATTGCTGACAGTAGTGATGCACTTTCTGCTAGACCCATTGTTCGAAAGAGTACCGGAGCATAGAACCCGGTCACATTGATTCCTGTTGCTTGTTGGAAAAATGGAATTGCCATTGACATGACAAGCTGAGGCCTATATTTTCTTTGCAAGAGATTCTTCAATGGATGTTTGACGCATTTTGAAGCATAACTTGCATGTATGAGATCGTCTAGTTCTACTTGGACATCATCAACGCCTCGGATTCTTTGCAGCATTCGCTTGGCCTTTTCATGATCATTTAGTTGCTGAATTAGACTATTTGGTGTCTCAGGGAGGAAAAACGCCCCAAAAGTCAGAATCGCAGCCGGCGCTGCAGCCATTGCTAACGAAATTCGCCACCCCCAACCTCCTTTGATTTTAACAGCGCAATAGTTTATAATCGTGGCTATTATAAAACCAATTTTAAGAAAGATTTGAAAACCAGTGTTAAAAGCTCCCCTGTATCTGGATGGTGCCATTTCTGAAAGGTATAGTGGAACTGCCTGCAGACAATAGATAATATGCAGAATGTTAACGAATTTTCATTGAGTGGTAGAAAAATACTCTGTAATATAAAAGACAAAAAACAATTGTTTCATGTGGTTCAGGATGCTAAATATAAGATTCTCTGAAGAACTTTCAATTTATTTATTCCTGTTTGAGCATAAAAAAGGAACCACTGAGTTTTAAACAATTCACTCTAAAGGCTTTTAAAGGGATTACATGGTAGGATTATGTCAAATTAGTCCTTCTGGTTTTGTACCTTAATTGAGTATATCTGTACCTGGTTTCTACAAATTCCATGATACTATTTCCTGCTTAGACACATTGTTCCCATTTTATTCTCTGATTTGATGGTATATTGTTCACGCAATATCAAAGTATCAAACTGAAGAAAAATACCCGTCATTTGATAAACCAAAACACTTAAGACAATTAGACTGCTAAATCTTCTAATGTTTTTCAATTTTGCTTATGAAGCATTAGGATGTAGTGATGTACAGATCTTCGCAGCATACTGTATCTGTTGTTCGAAAAATTGAACTGAAACAGAAAAAAAGAATAATAACAATAAGAAGACATAAATTTACAAAGGAGTAAGATAAACTCCAAGATTTGAAAAAATAAATAAATAAATAAATAAAACAAAACAAAACAAAAACCATGAGCTATGTAAGTCACTATCCTACATATCGAATTACCTGATTGGTAAAACCAAGGCCAACACCGAGCAAAACACGACCGAGTATTAGCATGTAAATATTATAAGATGCTCCACCAAGGGCAGCACCGGCGAGAATTACAGTTCCACCAATCAAGATTGATATTTTCCGGCCAAAGGACCTAGTGACCGGTGAAGAAAAGAAGGAGGCAATAAGACCAGCTATATAGAGAGAGGAAGTGAAAAGTGTCAACAGTTGGCTATCAAATTTACAATAGTTGCTTGTCTTTGTGTCGGCCTTCATTTTTTTGTAAACTTCTGGGAAGAATTCCTTGAGAAATGATTCCATTGAGATCAACCCACCTTCACATAAACAGACAGAATTCCATCAAACACTTTAATATTTCAATTCAACAAATTCCTCTTACAACAACATATAAAGTGTTACTTTCATTAAGTTAATTCAAGAAAGTAAAGAACCTGAAATTCCAAGGTCATAACCAAAGATTATTCCTCCAGTTGCAGCAATCAAGCAAGATAACACTACAAGCCCTGTAATCCTGCCAGCATATTCCCCACCTTCACTATCAGCTGCCATGGCATTCTTCAAGCTGATCACTTACTGCATCAAAAACTGGAAGCAAAGTAATAGTATTAGAGATAAGTTCATGCAAGATTTAAATAAATACATTCTTTTCAAGTGTTCAAGTTTTTAGATGAGATTGTTAAACATATGATGCGAGGACAATAAGTGTGAAAGCAAGCAAACACAGTAACATTAATATATCACTATCTATTTATGAAAATTGTACACATATCATGCCTTGGACGAAAAAATGAATCCAGTTGGCACGTGAAGAACGTGTTCTACTCATTTGAACATTTTGGACAGACAGGATAGTTCATCGTGAGTGCACAAGGCTGCATCCAAATCCACTGCTGGATACCATGATTAATATATGGTCCATACATTGTTTTTCTTGAATCTAAATAGTTAATCAAGGGAGGATCAAGGAATTTAGGAAGCAGGAATTGAAATTTAAGAAATTCAATATAATAAATTCATGTATAACATTGAAAGTCAAATTTATCTAATTGGAAGTTGTCCCCAACGAGGTTTTGAAACATAAAATTCACCTACAATAGAATCCTTGCCCTCGGGCATACTATCGTTGATATTTGGGTCAACAAAGTTA